TGCAAATTTATGTATATAAATTTTTCCTTTTTTCCTCCCTTATCTCCTCCTACCCGAGATGTTGCTTCATTATGATGCCGTCGCAGTTATTTTGCCGGTCTTGTTCGCTGTCGCTATTCAACATTCGCCATTCGCCATTCGCCATTCGCAATCACCATTGCCATAATGAAATGTTAAACGGGATATTAGCCTTTAGGCCTGACAGGCAGCGTACGAGTGCCGGCTCAAAGACCAGCAGCCATAGCCACAGCCATCCAGTCGGCTCAGCCTGTCTGCCATTCAAGCGAGGGATTTATGCTGTCAATTTGCGCTATGTTGTGTTGTGTGTTTTGTTGTTTTGTGTAGGCCTTTGCTGGCAGCTTGCATTTTTTGCTGTTGCTGTAAAATTTTTATTTGTTTTTTTGCATAGCCGTTTTGCTGCATTCAGGCCTTTCATTACATTTCATTGGCTTTCATTGGACATATTTATTTTGTTTATATGCGCATTTTACGCGGCAGTTTATTCACCATAAAGAAATTGGCTGAAATAAAAAAATAAAAACATTTCTCCGTTGAATTGTGAAAAACATTTCGTTGGAGTTTTTTTGAATTTTAAAATAACTTTTGTTGCGCGTTTTGTTTTTTTTTTCTTTTCCAACGGCTTGCAACATTTATTTCGTCGTGTTTTTGCGGCCGATTCGATTTTTATTTTTTCTCATTTTTGAATTCATATTTGTTGAGTTAAAAGTCACCCTAGTGAGAGCGAAAATGCTTCAACGCTATACCTCTTCTGCTGGCTAATAATTTTTGATTTTCCATTCAACAAAGAATACGTATGTACATATAGCTTACATTCAGTAGGCACTAAGTTAATTGAGGCCACAAGGAGGTTAATTTAAGTTGCACAACAAACTGTGCTTAGCGACTACGCCAGTGACAGCGGCACTGCGCGTCAAATGTCGAAGTTAAAAAATAATTTGCATTCATTTACCACTCTAAAGCGCGACACTTGAGCAAACTCCAACGATGGCAGATTCCAAGCTTGAAGCACCTGCTTCTGAGGTTTGAAGGATGGACTCAGATGAGATTGTCAGCATTTTTACTTTAGGGTGATGTTCGCAGTGCTTCACTCAATTTATAAAAAAAAACCTGCCTAAGTAGATATAAATATATTGAAAATACATATATAAAGCTGTGGGGAAGGCTTGAAGTTCAGAATCAAAAAAGTACGGTACTGTTACAAAAATCCGTATACAAATTCTCGCCCTAATATTATAATCACCCACTCGCCACTTTTAGCAAACCTCGCCTTTGAACACGAAGAACGCCAGTTTTGCAATAGCTTTAAACTTGCACTATATTATACTAAAATTGAATGGGCTACAAAAACTACATACTCAAAAAAAATCTAAAAAGAATTTCAAAAATTTGTAAATTTTTAATGTACTAATTTTACTCCACTTCGGTGTTAAAAAAATCCTAACTAAAATTAATTTAGAGTGCACCCCATAATACTATGCTTAAATATTGTGCAATACTTAGAGCTAATGTTGTGATTTTTTCACTTTTTTTGAGATGGCATATATTCAAAAATTAATTTTTTTTATCAATAAATTTGTATGTGAAAAGTTTTTCAAGAAAAAAAATTAAAAATATTTATTCTCATAGAGAATATTGATGTTTGTATGTGTGATTTTTTTTTAATTTTTCCGTCGCCCCGTTCTCGAGATATTTGGAAAACTATTAAATTGATTAAGATTAAGATTAGGATTAAGATTGCGATTAAGATTAAGACTAGGATTAAGACTAAGAAAAAAATTAAAATTAAGATTAAGATTCAGAATAATAAAAAGATGAAAATTAAAATTAAGACTAATATAAAGACAAAGATTAGGATTAAGATTAGGAGGAAGATGAAGGTTAAGACTAAGATTAAAAATAGGATTAAGATCAAGAAGATTAAGATTAAAACTAAGATTAAGATAAAGATTAAAAAGAAGATTAAGATAAGGAGTAAGGCTAGGAATAAGATTAAGATCAAATTAAGATTAAGATTAAGATTAGGAGTAAGATTAAGATTAAGACTAAGATTACGATCGAGATCAAGATCAGGTCTAAGGTTAAGATTAGGATAAGGATTAAGGTTAATAATAAGGTTGAGAATGAGGTACAAATTAAGATTAAGATTAGTATAAAGATTAAGATAAACACGGAGATTAAGATTAAGATTATGATTATGATAAACTTTAACATTAAGATTAAGTTTCAGAATAAGATCAGGAATATGATTAAAATCAAAACTAAGATTAAGATTAAAATCAAGAAGGATTAAGATTTAGTTCAAGATTAAGATTAAAATCACGAATAAGATTAAGATTAAGATTAAGCTTAAGAGTAATATTAAGATTGAGAAAATATTTGATGAAATAATTTAAGTAATTTTTTGGATAGATAATAAAGAAATAAAATCATTAGGACCAAACTAAAACTAGCTTCACAATTTATTCAAAAAGTTCTGAATATTTTATACTTATGTATGTACAATATAACTGCCGAAATACATCTGTGTTCTTATGGAATAAGTAGTCGAAAGGATGGCTTTAGTATAATGCAGTATTCGCAGCATACGATTGCGAATGACTCACTGGCGCTGAGTCGTTGAAAAACTTGTTTTTAAATAAACGTGCAAGAAATCGTTCCAATACTAGCAGTTCAATATTAGTATTAAGTCTCATCAAAAAATTCCTTGTCGTTTAAAGACTAAAGCGTCGTTTAAAGTACAAAACCGCGTAACTGACATTTGCTGGCAAAAATTGAATTTGCTCACACAAGCTCTTGGCTCAATCCTTATCCATTCGTTCTGAAATGTACTAGCCAGAAATGCGATTACTTAATAAAAAAGAGCGGTTTTGAATTTCGTTGATATGCGGTTTTGTACTTTAAACGACGAAAGGGTATGCCACATTATACTAAAGCCAGCCTTTCGACATAAGCTCATATTCCATGCGAACACAGTCATATACGTATGTATATATCTACTAAAGATTAACAACCTTTTACAGCAAAACAGTTGAGTGCCACTCAATTCAGGGAATATCAACCAACTTCAAGCCAAGTCTATACTATTTAGCTTCGCTAGTCGCATTAATTAAGCGCAAGTGCGCAACTTACGCATCCATACACACACACACACACACACACACACACACACACACACCAACACAAACACTTCACATTCACCTTGCGACAAGCGACATGCGCGCCTAATGACAGTTGTGAATTATGGTTGCCAACAGCACGAGCACCAACAACACCAAGAACATCAGTGGCTATGCAGAAATATGTATGTATGTATGTATGTATGTATATTTATCCACTTGCTTTGTGTCTCCTTACCATTTAGTGCTAAATTGAGATTAAGCCAAGACTTGAGTTTAATTAGAAGCCTTATATATATATACATATGTACGTAAATATATGTATGTGTGTATGCCGAAGTAGAGAGCGTTTGTCGATGCCGGCTGCTCAAGTTCAGTCAGTCGTTTGTTAGCGTTGCGTATACGCTACGTTGACCTCTAAAGACAGACAAATCATTAAGAAAGTGTTGAGCGTAATGCGAATTAGAGTGAGTGAATGGTGAATTATGTATAACTGAGTGCATAAGTCGGCTGGAGTATGAAAAGCAAATGAGTGGTGGTGGTGGTAGCACTGTGCGCATACTTGTAGCTGACGTGTGAAAGAACTTCCAAGTACAGCAACGAAAGCGTAGTAAGTGGAATAAATTGTGTATTAAGAAGAATAAACGCTAACGTAAGTGGACGAGTGGGTGTGGTGAAGATGAGTTGAGGTGATATTTTGGGCGAGTGAATGTATGAGTGGGTGATAGAGCAGTATGTCATGTATTTACTGGCGTGTGTGAGTGAATCAGCTCAGCAACTGCTTTCTTGACCTCCTTCTTCTACTTGTCAGTTGATGAATTTTGTTTTTCAACGCGAAGCACTTTGCTGTGCAGATATTTAATTAAAATAACAAATGAATGCGCAAAATACTATATTTTTGCTTGCTCATGTAGTTTTATTGAATTTCTAAGCTTAACAAGCGATGGAAAGGGGAACGTTTGGCAGCAAAAGTAGCCATATTTAAACTAAATACATAGCTGTAGTTGAAGATCTTAAAGAATAAATATTTTGGAGAAGAGGAAACTTAAAAATTAAATATTTTCAAGATAAGGAACACAAAACTAAACAGTCTAGATGCGATTTCGTTGAATTATTTTACTTAAGTAGACAGAAAGAATAGAAATGCTTAAGCGACCTTAAGAAAAACTTTGCCTAAAATACGAATGCAACAAAGAGAACTGTTTTCCATCGGCCACTGCCCAAATTATTGAAAAGTAAATCTTATTAGGGCGTATTTACCATTCAAGTAAAAAAATATATATCAACAACAAACTTAACATTTCCAAGTAGAAACGAAATAATTTAGAAAAAAAATATATGCACATTAGGGTGATTCGCGAAAAAAAACGTTACTGATTTTCCATTAGAATTATATAATATATTATATTTTAGGAATTTCGCCAAAGATTTAAATGTAATGTATAATGATTTACGTGAGCTGGAACAAAATTACCTCCTCGTTACTACATTCCGTTGACAAAATGTTTAATAATTTTTAAGCTGATTTTAAAAGTTTAAGCTTTTCAGTCATCGAAAGTGATTTTTAGGAAAAAAAAAAATTTGAGAAACTGACTTTATTAATAAAAACTTTGGTTTTTTTAGGTTTTTTCAAATCGGTACAGCTCACGTAAATACTGATTTTTTTCCGAAACATTTTGGCGGCTGTCGTACAATATAAAAAGCAATTCCGATGGAAAAATACTGCCGATATTTTTATTTTTATTTTTTTTTGGTATGGATAGGGGTGCACCCTAATGTATATATTATGAAATAATGTCAATTAAAAAATTGAATAGGTACTTAAATTATGTAAATAACTTAAATCTATTCTGTTCTACTCACTTATAGCCCGAATTCAGCGGGACATCATGTATGGCCACATTTTCGAACTGCGCCGGATTGGCGGTCCAACGCGCCCAATAAAATGTGAAATCATTTGCATCGTAATGATCGGTGAAGCGACATTTTAATGTCAAATCGGCATTTTCTCGTGTATCGAGCGATTCATCTGCCTGTGAGTATGTTAATGTGGATAATGTGAGTCCTGAAAAAGAAACGAGAAAGAATGTTATTGTATAAATAATAAGTAAATAACCTCTAGATATGGCATAAGTAGTACTAACACAACCATTGCTGCGTAGTTTTATTTTATTTAAGACATCTCAAAATGCGATAATTTTGATGGATCACACCGACCATTTATATTAACAGTACATTTATTATCATTCAAGCAAAGTCACAAAACTCCGCACATCACTATTGTGATTTCTACTGTGCCTAAAAAAATGCTACAAAAATAGATTTAAAGCTCTATTGAAGTGCACTAAAATGTTTAATTTTATTTTGCGGTGGCATGTTTGCTTTGCCGCCATACTTTGAGGCGCAATGTAAATCACAATCACGGTGATGAACTGAATTTTGTGACTTTGTTAGAATTGGGAGGTTAAAGTGACGTAAACGTACGCCCAAAATTATGCCACAAAAAATGAGTTGCAGAAGTCCGCAAGTTGCCTGCATTTTACTGCTTGTGCTCTAATTTAAATGTTATTTTTTGTTTCCGTTTTTTTTTTTTTTTGGTTTAGCTTTGCCGTTGTTTGATGGTGTATTTTCCTTATGTTCTATTCATACTGATGTGACCTGCTGTTTGATTTTTTGATTTACCTATGTGTGTATTTATGTAATACCTCCCTTCTTACATCTTAAGACTTTCGTCCGAGCAAATAAAAATATCTGGACACTATCAAGAATTCGTTAAGAAACGAGCATTGAGTACTCACTACTGGAGGGAAGGCATTATTGTTATGGTAAAAAGTGGCTCAAATGATCCCGAACCAGTCTTGAAACGGTCCAAAAATGGCTGCTTATTAGTTCCAAAATGTTTCCGAAATAGTCCGAAAATAGTTCTGAATTTTCCCGAATAGTCGTGAACTAGTGCCTAACTGATCCCGAAAGAGTCCTGAAAAGTTCCTGAAATAATCCTGAACTAGGTAGAAATGGTCTAGAACTTGTCCCAAAATTGACCTCAAATAGTGGTAACTAGCGCTAAAATGGTCCTAAAGAGGTCGCGAAACGGTCCTGAAATGATTTCGAACAAGTCTCGAAATGGTCACGAAATAGTCGAGTAGACGAGGTCCTGAATCGGTCCGGAAATGTTGCCGAATTTTTTCCGAAATGGCCCTAAACTATCTAGTCGTGAAATAGACCCGAAATCGAAAAAACGTGTGAAGTTTTTACGAGTTCTCTATTTCTCGATAACGCATAAATCAGCTCACTTCACACCCATAATTAATTTTACATAAAAACAGATGTAACAATGAGTGAATAAGTCAAATAAAAGCTCACCCAACTCAAACCATTTAGCATTTATTTATCTACGCCTCCTGATTGCTAACAAATCTCCGATAAAACTATTTATCTTTTTTTTTTTTTTGAATTTTGCGTGGCAAAGTAGTAGAATGCATAATCACTACGTTATCCTGTGTACCAACAAATAAATCTGACAAATCATTTTATTTACAACAATAATAAAGCGAGATCAAGACGGAAATCTAAGTAAATACCAAAATTGAACCCAAATTGACGCCGTTTGAATTGGAAATTTTTGCACAGCACTAAAAAAAATAAAATATTTCAATATCAACTTGATAGGTATATGTAGTCACTATACTTGAATATTTTGAGGAAAAAGGTTGATGGACGTCACGATTGCATAAAAATTCCAATTATCCAATTCAGCACACAGACAGCTGGACAAGCGTTCAGCATTGAGGAGAGATAAAGGGGCAAATGCCGAGAGAAAAATTTCTTAAATCGCCTGTGCGTAACTAAAAAATTCAATGCACAAGCGCCTGAAAATATGCACGAAAAAATTTGGTCGAAGCGAAAACCGCCCACGAGCCGCCAGCGAGTTGGGATGCAAAATAACTGAAGGCATGAATGCCAACACAATTTAAATAAAAAATAAAAATAAATAAAAAATAAAAAAATAGCATACAAAAAACTACGCAACCGAGGCAGTAAAAATCAAGCGGAAGCACCATCGACCCATGTCACCTGAGGGCTCGGCTGCAGGCAGGGAGGAAGGTTTGATAAAAACGAAAAAGGGTCAAAGTTAAACCGCATCAATTGCGCATCGATCCCAAATACAAATACACACACAAACGCAGCCAGCTAAAAAATTTGCACACTATTACTTTTGTGTGACTGTGTGTGTGTTTCGGTTTTTTATTTGTATATTTCGGGAAAACGCTTGTTTTAGATAGCCGTCACTACTGGCTTTAGGCGGGTGGCAGGTCACGCTTGGTCAACTGCAAGGGATCGCCCCATAGGCAGATACATATGTAACGGCAGTTGGGTATTGGATGTATGGATTTGACGTATTTTGCACGCTGCGTACTACATCATTATGCTATCCTTTTTGAGGAAAAATATGTAAAAGGAAAAGATAGAATATGTGGAAAACAACAAGAGAGCTTGCGGTCAAATGCTAGTTAACAGTGAATTCCGCATTTATTTTCGGTTGTGGGCGCATACACTCTGCTTCAAGGCCATCCAAAGATACTCCACACAAGCGTATCGCTTACTCGTTTTGAGGTTATTCTTTATGCCAGAGTAGCTTCTTGTGCATAGCCAGTGTAAATAGACCTCAATAAATAGTGTGAAATCCTTTCGTTTTAGCCACTTTCTTTCCAACCACGAATATACGCACCCAAACGCATTGCATGAATGTATGTATGTATGTGTGTATGTGTGTATGCATGTAGGCATGCGGAGTTAAAAATTCTCAGTGGATTAATCTCTATGTCCAGACCGCCTTTTAGTCGCATCGTTGCTCATGATTAGGTTGTCGTATCTTATTCATTTTATGACTAATCGCCCATTTATCGGACGAGTGGTTTAGTGTGTAGCTGAAAAAGAAGGGAATAAATTTAAACAACCTTTTTTATGTAAACCCCAAAAAAGCTCAAAGGAGACAATTTATTAAAAAAAATATATTTAGGTTTCAGCCGGCTGTGGAGGACAAAAATAGATATTCCTAGCATTAAGTGGGCATTCACACTAATGGGATGATGCCGTTTGTCTACATTATGGTTTATAAAGAAGTTCGCTTGGGCTATTAGCTTTTATAGTTTCAGCTACTTAATAGTTATGTGATCTTACTCATATTAAATGTTTTCAGATAATGGAAGTCTCTTTCCTTACGCATTAAGAAAGTTCCTTATGCTGGATTTCCTGGATATATGTATGTATATACATACATAACTGGAGTTTTCAGCAATGTCTCAAAATAAGTCATAGGTCACACTCAGTTCAATCATGATGCCAGCACTACGATACTCTTATTCCAGAAATAAGTACAGTAAAAACTAATGCTGGATTTCTATTAGGCATTAAATGGCAAAAATGACAAATGACAAAGTCGGGCATTAAAAAATTATCGTGTCATTATGTGAAAAAATAATCATTGAGTTCATTTCCACATGGCATTTTTTAAATGGCATAAAGTGTTTGTCATTTCAATGCCAAGTGGAAATTCGGCATAAGTCAAGTATTTGAAAAATTTTAGCCTCAGAACATTCATCGCAACAATGGAACATTGCCAAACTATTGCCATAGAGGGACTTTGAAAAAATTCCAAAATAGCAAACTTGTATATTTTGTTTTTAACTAGTGTTCGCAATGTGGTTGAAATTCAACCACAAAAATTAGGTGGTGTTGAGGTGAATTAAGGGTAGCTGAGTTGCGTTGGGTTAAGGTGGAGTGAAATGAGCTAAGGTGCGTTGAACAACATAATATAGCATAGCACAGCATGACATAACATAACATAGCATTTCATAACATAACACAGCATAATGTAACCATAGCATAGCATAACATATTACAACATAATATGATATAGCATCAAATTCTTCAGTCTTATCTTTTTCTTTGTCTCTATATTTACCTTTATTACTTTCTCTATCTCTATCTTTGTCTCTATCGTTTTTTAACTTTGTTTTAATTTTTATTTTTATTTTCATTTATTTCTTAATCTTTTCTTTTATCTTTATCTTCACTCTTGTATTCATATACATATGTGTTCACCCACACCTTTGCTATTATTATAATATTTGCCTTCCTCTTTGTCTTTATCTTAAGGTTTCTATACTTTTATTTCAATCTTTGTCTTTATCCCTTTTCTTCTGCCTCCAACTACATTCGAAAACAATTTAAGCTCCGTTTTCTTAAACAGTCTTTCATACGTAGCGTCAAATTATGACAACAACCTTGCGATACATGCGACCATGGGTCATCGGGGATTCGGCATAAAAATATTTGTTAACTCCAAAAAGGCACGTTGAGAGACGTTGCCACAGTTCATTTCAGTGTTGCCTATTTTCATTTTCGAACCATAAAAAAGCACACGAACAATATTTATTTTTTCGTGAGTTCCCAAAAGAAAAGTGATAAAAGAGCTATGTCACCAAAATCCTGCAGGCATTAGAAAGAAAAAAAAACAATAAATATTCAAATAATTCCATTTCAACGCATACTTGTAGGCAGAAAATAGAGCCGCATGCCACCACTAAACCTACCCACTATTACTTACAACAAAAGAGAGTAATATTAATAATAAATTTAACATAAATTCGAATATTATTATGCGCCTAAAAGTAGACCAAAATGTATGATTAAAAAGCACCAAAAACCAATTCAATAAAGCGCAGTCAGAGCGAGCGCAATAAAATCCAATCGAAATGACATTAAAGCCATTTGCTGGCATAAAAACTAATTTACGATTAGCTAACTGGCAGCGCTAAAGCCAAGTAATTTAAATCCTTTGTTACTTATTTTTGCATGATAAGGCACCTTTTTCTGCCAGCATTTTGGCCATAAAGCCAGCTGGCGTGCCTCGCAGGTCGTACATTGAGAAGAAACGAGAATATGCGAAATGCGCACAGGAAAGCAGCTTGCAAATTTCTCAATGAGGCTGAGGAGGAGGGGGAAGAGAAAAAGGAGAAGCTACGTTTCGAAAGCCATTTTCCGAAGATTATGGCATTGACA